ACAAAATAAGTTTAAAAATAGATAAGAATAAAGAAAACAATAAATTAAACGATTGTATTAGATAATTGTATGACTAATGTTCGTTTAGGAGCGGAAGTGTAATAAATTATTAATAAAACAAAAGAGATAATTTCCTTATGCATTGTATTTCCTGGTTTACTGCATTTTGATGTATGCTGCTTTTTGTGTCTTCCTGAACTCGTCGTTATTTATAAATAACATTAAAAAATGCACATCACGAAATATTTCCTCTTTACGAATTCGTCAAACTTGAGCAAGAAAGCCGTTGCAAAATATTGGGTAGAAGGAAACAGTAATATACGATAAAAATGTAAACGATTTCAGTTGATTCACAATCGACGTATATATAAGTATAAAGCTGTATAAATGATTCACATATTCAAAAATTTTCGCCCCTGATTGTACGGGAAATCTTGTAAGTTTTTATATCTGTTTCGTCGCACATCTAATAACTACTTTATATTGTTACTTCGCTTAGAGAGCTAACTTTGTCTACTTCTTCAGTACTTATCTCTTTAAATATTACATATATATATGTATCAATATTTACTATATATAACTTACTCTTTTAACATTTTAAAAATTTCGTGTAAATTTAAATTCGTATAATTGAAGAACAAATGTATTCTACGTATTTATTTATTTAAATTTATATCAAATTTATAATTTTTATTGATTTCATTAACTTTAGTATCTTTATCTTTTGGCTTGGAAATTTTCAGAAGTTTACATCTATAGGATATTGTTTCCACTGTAATTTAACAATTAAATTGTTATGTGTGTTGTGTTTCTAGAACACCGGGACATTATTTCAAGTTACAAAAAACGAGCGCAGGATGAGAATCCCGACGAGCGCTCTGTGCCTGATAATTCTGGCGAGTGGGTTATCGTCAGTGGTATGCGACAAGCAATTGTTGCCGGAGCTGTCGTTCGTCCTATCAGGCCGCAGCTTGGAATGGCCAAGCGAGGACACGAAGAACATCTACGAGACGAGCGGACGTTACATTGCCAGAAATGTTATTGCTACGAGAGCGCAGATTTACAAGGACGATGCGATCGTAGCGATGCCACGTTACAAGCCGGGTGTGCCGTTCACTCTGGGTGTCATGTCGTTGAAGAAGAAGGATTGCACCCCGAAGGTGATAGCATTCCCCTGCTGGGCGATCCAAGAAGAGGGCAACTGCAAAGCCCTACAGAGCGTAGTAGACATAGCTCTGGACATCCAAGAGATCTTGTGGGTATTGGACGTTGGTATCGTAAATACTTTGGAGCAACCGGTGCGCAGGTGTCCTCCCAAAGTCGTCGGAATTGATGTAAAATCCGGCAAGGTACGAGAAATTAATGATTAATAACACTGAAATACTCAGATAAGACAGAGAGTTTATAAAATTCACGTATTATAATTTTATAATTATACAACAATTTATTATTGTTTTTAATTAAAAAAAAGCTATCAAAAAGCTATCGTGTCTTTGAGATGTCTTGATTTTAAATAACTTTGTTTGTTAATAAAAAAAAAAAAAACATAAGGATATATATTCAATGAAAAAAAAAAATTTTCTAACATAAACAAATAAATTAAATTAAATTAATTAATTAATTAATTAATTTTAGGCCTTGATATGAAAGATAGAAAAACCTTTTTAGATATAAATTATATAACTCTGACTTTAATAATTTCTTTTTTACCACAAATATTTTACATCAGTGTGTTTCATTAAAATTCATGATATATATTGGAGTAGAAATATATTGGTGTGGGAATAAAATGATTCATATTGAGACGTGGTGTCCCGCAGGTTGTGAAAGTGATCGATTTGAGTCACTTGGTGAACGAGTTGTCTCGTTTGCAATATCTGACGATCGACTACGCGGACGACGGCCAGGTATACGTGTACGTGACCGACGCAGCCTCTAGATCCATTATCGTTTACAATGTCACCGCGGATAAAGGATTCCGAGTGATCCTTCCGAATGCAGTTACCACCGGTGTCCAACGGAGAGACGTTCTCTACTCAACGCTGGTGAAAAAGAGCTGCGGTACGCCAGTGCTGTATTTCACTTACCTAGGATCCAACAGGCTCTTCGCGATCAAGGCTGAGAGCCTGAGACGTGGTCTCTCTCAAGGATCAGTTATAGATATTGGACCGAAGCAAAACAAGATCGTTCTCCTCGGAAACGACAATGGCTGCGCCCTTTTCTTCAGAAATAAGGGTAAGTTGGTATTCTCTGTTTAATCTGACGCATTCATCAATCCTTTTACAGTGCCGTAGATTCTTCTTTTCGTAAAGCGTAAATTAAATATAAGAAAATAATTGAACAGTCATAGATCTTCTCTGTGTTTCTCGAAATGAAAAAAAAGTTTGCGCGGCAGAGTAGTTTTATAGTTTAAAAAATAATTTGCGACAATTGCTATCAATGTAAATTGCAACAATTCTTTAGCGTCTAATTAAGAAGAATAATTTATTTATTTTTAGGCGAAACCGATGTCTACATGTGGAACACCGAGACACCCTTCGTACCGGAGAATTTCCTCCTAGTACAGAATGGCAACGATTGCCGATTGCCAACTCAAGTGGTTCCTTCCAACAAGAGATTGATGTGGACAATCGAGAGCAACTTCCAGGATTATATACAGAACACCGTGAGCAGCTCGGGTGCTTCCGTGGGAATTCATCCCCTGGTCAAGTCTTGCGACGACTAAAAATCATTCGTTAAAAATTACAGAGCAACCATTCATTATATAATTCGATGTCCCATAAGCAAAGGAGTTGAAATTAGTATCTAAAAAAAATACTTCGTATTTTGATGCATCAGATACATGAAAATAATGTCTATAGAGTGGCAATGGAAGACACGACGATTAGCGTAAGGTACATTTTTCCATTATTTACGGTATCGAAATGAAGTCAATTGATTTTAGTTCCAACTTCTTAAATCGAAAAAAATAATCAAATTTTTTCGCGGTAAAAAGATGATTACTGAAATATATGACGTTTCGCTTAAGGCTGTGTTCCAATATACTGTCAGTACTGAAAATCTCTAGTATATGTTAGAGATTCTACACGGAGAGAATTTTTTTTTAATTTATCCTGAAAATATGGTAGTTATGGTACAATATTTTTAACATGCACTTCAGTAAAATTAATCAAACTTATTTTATATTTTATTATAGTTTTATTAATGAATGAGAGAAATTTACATAAAATTCTTCGAAATACAATGTCGTTTCAGAACTATCATATTTTCAGGGTAAATTCTAAAAAAAAATTCTCTCCGTGTACATATATCAGAGCTACCAGCGATTTTGTCAAAATCCTGTAGAGAGAAAGATATATATCATTTCTCTCTGTACATATACTATCGGACTATCTCACTCTAACTTATACTATGTGTCTCACTTTATAATCTCAATTAAAGTTAGAAGATGGTATCCAGTCCGTTCTTATTTTAAAACCGTCTTAAGGAATGTTTTAAGATGCTAGTACAGCTTTTTGATAGTTTATGACATCTTAAGACTGTACTTAAGACAGTCTTAAATATAAGAATCGACTATAAATACCGTCCCTAGAGTGAAACAATATAAGTTAAAGTGAGATAGGATGTATATATGTTACAAAGTCCGTAAGTAGGCGATGTCGACATTGCCCGAGTAAAGCTCTAAATATATCAAAGTAGCGCAATCCTTTTATCTGAGCCGAAATGCCGACAACCTTCCTATTAGCTGTTTCGACCGCTATTTTCGATCTAGTTGTCTGTACTCCAATAAGCATTTAGTATTATTGGTATATGGTATGATTAGTAAGTCGAAAATGGAAGATCTTTGCGCTACTTGGTATATCTAGAGCTTTATGCCCGAGTTGCCTGCTATATAATGTCAGCATTGCGGGCAATGTCAACTCTGCCTACTTGCGGACTTTGCCCGTAATATATATATATGGAGAAATTATATATATTTTTCTCCCTCGTAGAATTTTGACAAAATCGCTCGTGGCCAAATTCTGTTATAGATCTCTAGTATGCGTAAAATAAACTATAGATTTTCAGTACTGATAGTGTATAGTGTATACAGGAACATGATCTAATTGTAAGTTAAAAAAAAAAGATAAGAAGAGATTAAGATCTACTTTGTCGCTGATCTAGTCACGTAACCGGCACATCTTGTGCCTTGATCCTCGTAGGTAGTAAGTTTAATTTGCGAATGTTACATCGATTAATGAAAGCGCTGAAACATTCTTTTAAGTCGCATAGATAATTAGCAAATTGACAATGTTTGGTATAGTTAATGTAACCGTGACCGAGATAGAGGATTCATATACTATGTAAAATCCTGTATTTGGACGAGTTGACCAGTGTAAAAATTACTTGTCGATGTTTAAATCGATGCCAGCATATAGCTGCCAGTTTCAAGACAAATTATCAAAAGCTTGTAATTATTCACCTGTTCAACGATCGAAAAAAGTGATTTATTGATGAAATATGTATAATTAATCGTAACACCTGTAATTGTTAAGTCAAACCAAACTACTAATAAATGCCAGCTTATATAAATACGTATACCAATTTAGACCTATACCAATTTATGTATATGTAAAACTAGTCCATTTTTGATAAAGCGTCTTAAAACTACCGGACGTAATTTCTCTTCATTACCCGAATTCTTTATTGCCAGTTTGTAATGGAGCTGTCTTGAATCACAAAATAAAGTCCCATTTTTAAGTAATTAATTAAAAATAAAAATCTTACGACAAATTAATCTTTAGAAGAAACTAAATAATGAAGAGTAAAAGTTCTTTAGTAGAATTTTAATATAAATATTGATTGGAAATATGCGATGAATAATGAACAATGAAATATTATAATAATGACATTCACAAGAAAAAATTATTCTTAAATCAATCAAAGAATTAAGATAAGCGTAACTCTTTGAAAAATTTTCTATCGCATTTTATAAAAGTTAAAAATATATATAATAATAGTTATTGCATCGCAAAATAGTACTTTTGAATTTTAATTGTTCTAGATTTAAGTGTCGAATTGCTCAAAGTATTCTTTTTCGTTGCACCGGGACATTTCGAATTTACCAGACCCCATACGTTTCTTCGCGCATCCATTATATAATCGGTTATGCATGGGACGTCATCGTTTTGTACCAGAACCGAATGACTCTGCGCCTGAAAGGACAGATCAATCAATTATTCACAATGTGGCTTTTAGAGGGGATTGAATTAAATAATTTACGTTCAAAGGAAGCTTAGTGTTCCATCGCACGCTGGCTCTCTCTGATGTCATAAAATAGTGTAGGCCGTCTTTTAAATCGCAGAACAATCCTATGGAAGAACCTAATTTCTTCCCAAGCCAAGTCACTGTTACATTTTGTGTTTCCTGAAGTAATATAATGCGGTTTAAAAAGTAACCAAGATTATCTTGAAGATTATCTTCGAAAATGCAGATAACGGAGTAATCGCATCCATCTGTATTTTTATTTCTTTGAAATTTATATAAAAAATTGCCGATTTATTGCAGATATCACTCAATTGTATTGTCAATCAAAGCAAATAATATCAAAAAGTAACTTGGCTTAATACGTACGTGTGAAGATATTCGTAATAATTTATCTGTACTAATCCTTTCCAGATTGATGCTAAATAGATCATGCGAATTATGTCCTGTCATATATAAAATTGAATTAATCCGAGAGACAGCAAGGTCGATGAATTGCGCACGAGGAATTTCGGGTTCATGTAACATTCTTAATTTCCACCACTTGCGTAATCCTGAAATTCGTATCGCAATTGACATAAAAAGAGAATAATTTTGTAGCGCCGTATAAATCTTCTTCGAATGTATGTAAATTACCTGAACTATAAATAATGATCGTTTCGTCACCGGCATCTGCGATATAACCACGAAATCCCCATTGATCTTCAAACGGATCAACTACGAGAGACTTTAAATGTTTTACTGACACTTTAGTTAACTCAGTGGATGACACCTTTAAAAATTTTTAAGTAAGTGAAATTAATTAATATTTATTTTTTTGGAAATAAAATCTAGTTTGAGCAAGATTAAATTACAGCAAAATTTTGTTATTTTTATAAATCGCTCTTTGATTTGTTCCAGGTAGCAATCTGACGTTATTTGTCATCATTTTAATTTCAAAAGGACGATAAATAACGTCAGTTCACTACTGAGGGAAAATTTTAAATTAGAATCGTAGCTCTCTAAAAATATATATTGTACAATATATGTATATTAAAATAGAATAAAATACAACAAAGAAGTAAATAGAATTTTATACAAAAATTATATCAATTTAAAAAATACGAATTTGTTTAATCTTAAAATTTTGTTTCACACGGTTATATGAGTCAGATTTTTTTATATATATCCGGTTACATATTTTTAGAACTTTGTTAAAAATACAAAAAATAGTGTTAAAAATATATAAATATTTCTAGACAAATTTTTTTCCGTAAAAACTGTTAAACATTGTGTACAGTAGATAGTAAAATAAAAATTTAATTCTACTTATTAAATTACGAAATATAAACGTTAAATTCAAACAAGAAGAAATTTTTAAGAGAGTGCTAATTTTCGAAATTTTCATTTCACACACTTAATTAACGTAAATAATTCTAAGATTAAGAGAAACCATATAGTTTAGTAGATACCAATCGGTCGTTTCGTTTCAAGTCGTAAATGATAATTCGGGGCCAACGATCATATCCGTCGGGTGCATCTAGAACCCATAATCGTCCTCGAGCATCCACGTCTAATCCAGTTACGGATACGAGAGTTTCATAATCCCGCTTTGATGCTCTGCTTTTAGGGAACAGCTTTGAAGAGATTACTGCATTTGCAATGTTTAACGACAAATTAATTTCAGGCCAAGAAACTTCCACCAGAGTTGGTTTCCATTCTTCTTGCTTTTCATTTGTTAATCTAATATATACAAATTGCATGACAGTAATAATATAAATCTTTATTTATTAAAAGAAAAAACAAATTTTTTTAACTTCGTTCCAAATAAATTTACATTACAGTAAATCGTATTTATCAACGTTGTATATATATTGTGTGTTTTACAACTAATTATATTATATTGTGTGTTTATGAATCATAACTGATTACCATAATAAGAAATCAAACGAAAGGATAATAAATTCATTTTTTACAAATAAAAGAAATATAAAATTATGAATTTTTTTTTCAACGGTTTGAGAATATTGAAAAATCAATATTAATATTATTATAAAATTATTTTAAAATTGATAAATTATTACATACTTGATATTGCATATTGTATGACACGGATTGCGGATTCTTACTCACAGTTTATTATCTTATACCTGGGAATTGCCAGAAAAGCGCGATTTTTCCACACAGCGAATCTCCATATTAGAACATTATCAGATATGTTCAGCGATGTTAAATTCCAGGAGTGTGAGACATGACTTAAAAGCAGACAAAAAACACTAACTCGAAGACTAAAGCGAGTCTTTTCTGAATTAATCATAATGAAAATGACGATAGAGAAACGGATACGACACAACTTTGATCGAGTGAACGATAGCGCTTTCGTTGAAACGCATCGTCAGCGAGGAATTGTTGATTGCTGACAATGACTTTTTAATCGTATCCAATTAAAAGTAACCCGCTCGAAAATCTTCGCTAATTGACAAATATCTAACACTTTTTATATTCATTTTATTTGCAGCTACAGTAGTAGAAGCGTAGTTAAATAAAAAAAATTGTATTAAAGTTAATTAATAAATTAATACACAGCTTTAAAGGTTATATTGAAGCTTTGATCTTGGCTTTAAGCCTTGTTGTTCTTAAACCAAATTTATGTTTAATAAAGAGTATATGCCAGAAGTTGATAAGAAAATATATAAATAATATTGCACGCAGTTATGGAGATCTTTAATAATTAATTTATCTTGGTGGAATTACATTATGCAATTGCGAACATCAAAATATCTATTAAATCAATTAATGTTTGCTATTAATAGTTATACGTTACATAAAAATTTTACTAATTAATTATTTATCATCAAAAAAGTTAATAATAATTATAAACTTTAAGTGGAGATATAAACGAAAATAATAATCAGAGGATAAATCGAATGTAATAAAAAAAGAGTAACAGAAGTATAAATGGATTGTAGAAAATAAAAATTGGGGCAACAAAACGTAAAAAAAGTGTAAGCGTCTCCTTTACATTTGTTATCGTCCCAATTTCCTCCAGAAGCTTCTTTATGTTGATTTATGTTTCTGTCATATTTTTCTTATATCTGACTTATGTTCCAATTTTTATTTTCGCCAGTGAAGCAGAACATCACAATAAATAACTAAAACGTGAAAGTGACGTTAAAATGATTGTAAATGATTGAAAAGTGACTTTTAGTAATCACTTAGGAGCTATTTTGTCATTATTTTGCTGTCATGTCGAATGACTTGTGTTCTGCTTGAGTAAAAGATATACTATATATATATATATTAGTAGATATGTATATGTAGAAGAGGTCATTTACGTCTCTGACAAGAGACGATGAACTTGAGAGAGATAAGTTTTAAATCAAACTTTGCATGTTTAAGGAGTCTGTAGCTCTATTAAATATATTATATATATGTATATTATATGTATATTATATATATATATATATATATA